GCCCCCTCCCTCCCTCCCTCCTGTGAGTCCCCGGCGCATCGCGGAGCGGCACCATCACCGAGCAGCAGCAGCACCTGGCTCCTCCACCGACCGCATCCTCCTCCTCCTCCTCCTCCCTCCTCCCGCATCAGGCGCGGGAGCGACAGGAAGCCCTGACGTCACCATGCCAGGTAGCCAGAGACGGACAGGGGGAAGGTGAGCGCGCGCGCGTGTGAGAAAGAGAACGAGAGCTGACTCTGCGGGTGCGCTCGGCCTCCGGGTGGTGGACACCTCTCCGGGCTCGAATAACGATGGACGGCCGGCCGCCTGCGCTGCTGCCGCCGCCTGCGCTGCTGGCTCTCCTCGCCATCATCGTTGGAGGTGAGTAAGCCCGCGTTGGTCCTCTGAAAGCCCGCAGAGCCAGAGCCGTGACGCGTCCCGTCCGTCCTGGACCTCAGAGGATGAAGGATGAGAGGAGGCAGAGAGAAACTGATTCTTTTATTTCTGTCAGCAGCAGCGGAATGATGCAGAAACACCCTGTCCTCATGTCGCTGCGAGATAAAACCTGTTTCCAACAGACACAATATGGAGTTTCTAAAGTGTGAGCATCATTGTTGTCCTGCTCCAGAGCTCAGAGCCTGCAGGGATTTCTGCTTCTCATTTGGCTAAATGAGGCGCTGAAAATCTCCCACCTTGCAGACATGGAGCAGGTGTCTAAAGGCATGGTGTGTAAATCAGAGCATCAGAAATCAAATGTTTGAATTTGAAGGTTTAAGAGTAAAATCTGATGTTCTGGACCTCCTCTCATTAAGTCTGAGGTCTGACCCTCATGGACGGTTAATAAAACTGAAACTTCTCCATCCTGTCAGCCATGCAGGAGAAATGATGTCATCAACAGGAAGAGGCTCCAGTTTATGACGGGCAGGTGTTAAATCCACCTCTTCAGTCACTGATTGGTTGATTTTACAGCATTTTAGATATTTTTTAGCTGTTCCATGTGAAGTGGAGCAGCTCAGAGGCCGGTCCAAACAAAACAACAAAAACATTTATCTGCACCCATGTGGCAAACAGCTCCGCCTGCACACAGGCCAGCTGGGTCACAGTTTACCCCTCTGCCCCACACTAATGTTGGTGTGGTCGGTCCTGTCCTGATCGGGCTGATTCACCTCCTCAGGTGGACATGTGCATCATGTCACTAACACATTTTTATTATTCAGCTCATGTTCTGAAGAAAATCCTCGTTTTAAAACGTCCAGAATGTTTATCTTACTGTTCTTTACATTTTCTCATTTTTACCAAACGCTGAATTTAATTGTTAAACTCTAAATCTAAATGTGTAAATCTAAATATAAGTTAAATGTAAATGTTGCAGCTAAATGATAAAGCTGACATTGAAGTATTTTAGAATGGAGCGCAGCCTCTGTTGGTGCGTGTACTAAAACAAATTACTGTCCAGCGAGCTTTCTTTGTTTGTAGCATTTTGCTAGACTGTTAGAGTGGATTTAATTAAATTAAACCTGCAACGATTCATAGAAAATGGAAAGTTTGTAACAGATGTGGATTTATTTTTTCAAGGAAAAAAATGAAACGGACATGAGATGATGCAACATTGTCTTTAAAAGTCCATTGAGGTCCATAACTTCATTTAAAGAAATATGTACTCATCATAATACTTATTTTATTAATATCAGAATGTATATAAGTCAGATTAAAACCATTTACAGAACATAATTCAGCACACCTTTTAATCAAAGGATGTAAGGATGTAAATAATTATTTCAAGTATTTTATCTAAATCGAGCACATTAACTGGTAATCTGGATATATTTTAGTGCACAAATAAGCTCGAGCAGTGACAACACAAAGCTTTTATTATGACATCATCACCTGTGACGAAAGCAAATGCTAACACTGCTAACCGTGCTAATGCTGCTAACACTGCTAACCATGCTAATGCTGCTAACACTGCTAACCGTGCTAATGCTGCTAACACTGCTAACCGTGCTAATGCTGCTAAAGCTTCCCTACAAAAAATCCAGCCAGTGTCTGTGCTGCAGCTCAAACTGCAGGACCACAGCTACCATCCACACTGTTTTCAATGAACACATTTTGAATTTACATTTTAAATGTAATCTTAAGCAGCGTTGGCATTTGTTTTTGCTGCGGTACGACACAGCAAAAGCTGCAACAGTGTCCATTCAAAACTTCTTACATGTAAGCTTTATCGTTTAGCTGCAACATTTAATATTTAGATTTATAATGTAACATTTAGACATAACATTTAACATTTAAATGTAAGTAAAAACTAGCAAAATAATTCTCAGACTATATTTTTAAATGTTTTGAATGTTGGTAAATTGCACCATCTGCAACAGGTAAGATATTAACTGTTCATAATATTTTGAAAAACCCACTCCTACAAACAGAAAGCAATAACTTTTATTAATAATTACACTGTAAATAGAAAATGACAGATTTACATGAATTAAAGTTTATAAAGATGACAAAAGTAAGTTTAAATAATAAAAAAAGAACCGACAGAAATTCACACACAAAAACAAGTTCGGTTTAATATTCTAAACATCGGCTCAAATAAATGTTTCTTTGTTGTTTTTAAAAGTACAAAGATGTGAACAAAATATAAAAGCAACATTTAAGAGGCTATTTATCTCCCAATAAATAAAATAAAGCCAAGTTAGATTAAATCAGCTATAATCTCAGGTAAAATAAAATAAATAAATAAATAAATAAAATAAGTAAATAAAATAAATAAATAAATAAAATAAGTAAATAAACTAACAAATAAACAAATAATTGATTAAATAAATAAGTACCGGTAAATAAATCAAATAAATAAATAAATAAATAAATAAATAAAAGCAGAATTCCAGTATCTGGTCTAAAACAAAATGAGTCAAACAGCTTTAAGTCAAATGAGCCTCATAAAGCAGTGAATTAATGACTTGTCTTCCTTTAGGGGAGAAAATCTGATTACGTTGTCCTCAGAGACTCTTAATTCTGTCCTCAATGGAAAACACACACACTTAAAGAAATGCATAATGCACACACACACATCTGGAGACACACTAAATAAACACAATGTACATAAATAGCCTACTAAGTGAAGGTAAGCGAAGAAGAAGCAGCTCAGTCTGTGTTGAAGGATGCTGAAGGACGTTCCTGCACCTGCAGACGCTGCAGACAGGACCAGGCCTTCCTGTGGTGGGAGCAGGATGCCTCTTGTCATCTCCCCAGCAGGCCATGCATAATAAAAACGTGTGGCGCTGAGCTGACCTGATTCAGGGCCGGGGGCTGCTGGGCGTGGAGCTCGCTGTGCGACAGTTTCATCATCAGAACAACGTCTTTATGTTCTAATATTTGTATCTTAAAGCAGATTATCATCAGTTGAATCTGTTTGGACCGAACGGTTCTTTGGTGCTTCATGACAGGAAGTGGAGCTCAGTCAGTGTGTGTGTGTGTGTGTGTGGTGTGTGTGTCTGCACACAACATCCAGTCCTTTTCTGTTCTCACTTTCTGTCACTTTCTATCTGTAAGCTGCTTCCCTTCGTTGTTCTGGCTCCACATTTCTGAGCTGACTCCCAAAACACAACAGCAGCACAGATCAGAGCTTGTGTCCCCAGAAAGACACACATTCACAGCATGGAGGAGTGTAAAGCTTGTTTAAAACTCTGGTTTCTCATTTGTGATTTGTAAAATAAAATTGTGTCACTGTATGCTAAAGGGATAGTTCTATTTACTGGATGAAGGCAACTCTAGGGCTGGGTAATATTGTCAAAAATATAATCATGATTAATTGTAGCATTTAGCCAATAACAATTAATATGATAGATGACAATTGCACCTGCACGTTTGACTCTAAATCTGTCTGCATTTTCTAAGAAGGGGTCTCTGCAGTACATAGGTGGAGCTTCTTGGCTGTGTGGGCGGAGCTTGTTCAAAACTGTGAGTGGTTGGATTGACTGGGGGAAGTTAAAATATGAAGTAATACTAAATACTAAAGTTGATCAACTTCAAATTTGGTGCAACTCTTATTTTATTGATTTAACTTTCATTTAACCAGTAAATCCAAATGAAATCAAAGATCTCTTTTGCAAAGGAGGAAGACCACCTACTGTACATGTTTTTGTTTGGTGGGGGAAACCAGAGACCCCAGAGAAAACCCACACAAGCACAAACATGCACACCCTACAAATAAAGACCCAGCTCCGAACCAGGGATTGAACCCAGGACCTTCTTGCTGTGAGGCATCAGTGCTAACCACTGATCCATCATGCTGCCATCTACCTTCCTTGAGTTAGGACTAATATTCACTCATGTCTTTCCCAAACTCCACCCACACTGCAGAACCCTCCCCCCCCACCCCACCTCACATTTTCTGATATTCCTAGTTTATTGTGCTTCACCTAATTCTGAGGTCTGCAACCTTTACGATCAAAAGAGACATTTGTGCTCCTAGTTTCACAAATAAAATGTGTCCGGAGCCGCAAAACAAGCTACAACTGTGATTAGCAAGTAGTGGTCTGTGGGCCTTTTCGAGGCCTTTTCGGGAAACTTTACGGTCAGTGGAGGAGACGTTAAAAAACTAAAAATATCTTAACATTTTTTAAATTATACACATCAGGACAAATAAAAAGACCATATTCATTTAAACAAGAAAAAACGTATAGTTTATACTGAATTTCATAAAAACGAGTACAACTGAATTATTCAGACATTTTTTTAAATTCTTGTTATTATGTAGTCTTCAAATTATTTAAAGGTAATTCTGATGGATTTGAGAGAAAGATTATAGAAAGAAATTGGATTATTTAAGTAAACAACAGGCTAGCATGAGCTAACGTTTTACTTTTTGTATTAGTATACAAACTGATTTCTGTTGTGGGTATAGAAAAACTAAAAAAAATTATTAAGTTATATTTGGTCACATTTTCAAAGAGCCACTGCAGAGGGACCAAGGAGCCACATGTGGCCCCAGAACCGCAGGTTGCAGACCCCTGACCTAATTAAACAAGTTCCTTGTGTTAGCATTAGCTTTGTGTTAGCTCCACATTAGGGTTGGAGCCACATTAGCATTAGCTCAGCATTAGCTTTTGCATCATAATGACTTATATATAACTCACTAATCGCAAAGTACCAAATATTAATCAGTGATGATTTAATTTTGAACCAGTTTTAAAAAGTTGGTCTCACATTATGATGTTAAAAGATTATTCATGTTGTTTCTTCTGTCAGGTTTTTTAACAGAAGTTGTAGCCGTTCTGGTCAAAACTCATAAAAGACTTTAAGTCAGACTCTCAGACACTGCCACATTAAATTTTAGCTCAATATTTGTCAAACTGACAGAGTTACTGCCAGTTTTG